GGAGAAGGGAAGCACATTTTCAGGAGAATCCCCAGGTTCCTCTCCTGGATCGAATTGGTAAGTCTAGGCTGGGACCTGGTAATCTCTCTTTTTATAAACAGTTGGGAACTAACAACTTGAATAGGTGTACGACCTCCCCAGATTCAAGACCAACTGAGCCAAGCCAAGAGCACCTCCAGTATGGGCCATTTTGTCACAATTAATAAAATCACAGAATACAGGGAACAGGACTAGAGGATCTGTAGACTCTATAACTCCTTGACATTTTCTTGCTACTAAAACTTCCCCTTACCTCTTGTCCAGTAGGTTACCCATTCCTACTTCTACTGTCAGTCTCCTGGAAGGACCCACTGCCCCCATTAGACCCAGGGACTTCTACTTTGTGTCAATGACTCCTGCTTTCTTTTTCCAAGGCATGTGAAATGGGACATCTTGACACTCCTAGCAAGAAGGAAGTTCCTACTTGCAAGATCTTGGCCATGTGATACTAATTAATAAAATAACCAGGTAACTTAGCAAGGCTGAATGTGCAAGCATCACCCAACTCTAGGCAATGATGTAAAACTGCCAGAGAAAATTTTGTTCTATAAGACAGTGCTTCATCACATGAAGCAAAAGGAAGTAAAATCTCCCTTGATAACTTCTCTGTCTGTCACTTAAGACTGTGCACGGTTTGGGTCATCCTGCCCTTCCAACTCTATGTAACTATGTATTCCAGATGGCTCTGCACTGTCCTGAGACTGCATTTCTTTTTTCAGTCTTTGTGTGGGCTATGTCCTTCACTCCATTGTCCCTTCCTCTCCTTTGACTTCTCAGATTCTCCTAGTCCTTCTAAGCTATGACCAACTGTCTCATCCAGAATCCCTCTCTGCTTCCCCCAGTCCTCAGTGACCATGTATCTGTGCAACCCAGGTCAGCAGTTTACTGTCTTGTCCTATACTTTTTCCAGAACCTTTATTTGTTAAACTTAGAATCTAGAACCTTTATAATTACTACACAGAAATATTGTTTTAAGATTTGCACATGTGTTACGTCTTTGGAATATCACAACTCAGGAGGTGGGTAATGTCACTGGAGAGTTGGGAAAACCAGTGTGAAAAAGTTTTTTTTTTTTCCTTTTCTTTTTGCTTTCTTATGTTTGTCTGTGGAAAAACTGCCCAGTAAGTGGCACTATTAAAAGACTACCTCTGGAGAAAGGAATAACGGTTTCCCCTAGAGGAAAACTTGGAAACTCAGAGTGTAATGAAGGTCTGTCTCTGTTGTCCAGACCCACCCGAGGGACAAGATATCACTTTAAAGAACAGCTGCATCATGGGGCTGAGACTGGCATCCACATTCAAATGACAGGCTCCTTATTGCAGCTGTTGCTGCCTTTAGACGCTGGACAGCTGTTGCCAGGAGATGGATTCAAACAGAACAGAGGAAATAGAATCCTGCCATAATGACCAAGGCTGCATGTATGTGTACTACGTTCTCCCCACTCCTAGCTCAGTGTTCTAAAGATATGATCTAAGTTTCCCTTAAAGGAAGGCTAGGTGTGGCAGGTGTAAGGGAAAAAACCAAGGCAGAGAGGGTCTTGAGCTAGCCTTTGTCTGAGCTAGCCTTTGTCTTGAGCTAGCCTTGCCCAGCAGTCTTCAGAATGAATCAGAGCCTCTGGGGGCTGCACAAGCCTTTTTAATCATTCACGACAGTGTTTGGTTGTGATCGCCACTGTACTGCAGAAGTGTTCTTGGCAGAACTGGAGACAAGACAGTGGGGTGTGCTGAGGAACCAAACAAGGGGATAAGAGATAAATTCTCCACTCCTCTCCCTTTCCTTCCCTATAAAAGAAGCTGTTGGTAGCATTCGGATCTGAGCATTATGCTCCAATACTGATGCCATGGGAACTGGGACTGTGATGGAGTCCCCGGCCTGTCTTTGACGCTCTTGCTGCCCATTTTACTTGACACTAAAGCTCCTATTTCTCCCTCACCTTTCCCTTTCCTCTGAGTGTTCTCTTCATGCTGTCTCAGGAAGAAAGGCTGCACAGCCCCATGGCTAGCACAGGCTTCTGCCTAGGGTGAGTGGTTGCATTCCACTGCCTATCCTGCTCTTTCTGGCATACTCTGCCCAGTCAACTCCTTGATGGCTCCTAGTCTGCCTGTAGTTGGTGCTTCATGGCCTAGCACAAGACTTTCCTGCTACAGGATAGTCCCCCAACTATAAACTGGGGACTGTCGGGACCTGCCCTCCACTCTTTACACTCTGCTGTCTGACTCCAGCTGTATACCCACTTGCTTGGGAATGTCTATTTCTTTTTTGTAATTTTTATTTTTTTAGTTATAGATGGACACGATATCTTTATTTTATTTATTTTTTATTTTATGTGGTGCTGAGGATCGAACCCAGTGCCTCACACGTGTGAGGCAAGTGCTCTACCACTGAGCTACAATCTCAGCCCCGAGAATGTCTATTTCTTTGCTCTTTTATACTCACATTCCTGCTTTAAATTATCCTATGTTGTGTTTTTCAAAGAGTTATGAGCCTTTGTGAGCACTTTCCATGCATTTTGATTCGTACTTTATCTCACAGCTTAATGAACAGGCAACCCTAGGGGATTGGGACTATTCCGGCCCATGTTTCACAGCTGAGACCCATGTCTTAAAGAGGTAGAGTAACAACTCGTTCTAGGTCACACACCTTAATTCTTTGCTGTGCTGCTTTGCATAAATCACGACAAATCCCTTTAAGAAGAATGCAAGTTGAGAATTCTAACATAATGTTTCAAATAAATCATTGGGCTGGCATTTGGAAAATAGGGTACTCCTCTCCAAAGGCTGGGCTCTTGCCACCATCCCATGGTCTCATCTGGCAACAGTGGAGTCAACCATGGGTTTGGTGTCTGTTGGGTGCTTTACTCTGCTGGTGACAACCAGCTTGAGGACTTCCAACTCCAGCCGGTTCCGCTGTGCATGCATTCATTCTTTGACCTCAGAGGACCTACAAATGAACTTAAACTTGGCTTTCCTTCGGTGTCTGCTCTCTGCAACACTGTGGGCACTGCCTTGAAAGTAATTCTTTACTGATCAAAGCGATAGCCTCTATTCTTAGTGGAACCGATTATGGTTAAGTTGAGGTAAGCCAGTGAACTCTGTCAGGAAGCCTGTGGCCAGAGCATGGACTGGCTCAACCTGTTTTCAGAAGAAATCTGTGCTGAGAACACATTTTTGCTACAGTTGTGTTTTAGAGATTTCAGTGATCACATTAAACCCCCAAATACTTTGGCAGCCAGTACAGTATGCAGGTGACCCAAGGTAACCAGCAAAAAGGAGGCTGAGTATGTGGTTCAGAGCCCCCACCGCCTCTCATCCACACTGTGCAATCTGCAGTGCAGGATGCAAATAATTGTTATCTGCTCAGGCTCAGCTGCCTTTTTCAGCTCCTTGTGATATCCTGTGTCCCAACTTCTTCCTACCCTTACTCTTCTCAAATGAAATCTGCTCTGGATGGCTTCCTGCTTCCTTAAAACTGACGTGTCAATTACCCACTCTTATCTTCCAAGATAATGTGCTTTAAAACATCTAGCCAAACAAAATCATTCTCTGGGAGAAACATGCATGTGAATTGGTTAAGATATTACCTATCTTGCACCTAGAAACTGTGCTCCTTCTGAGAACCCAGAGGCAAAAGTCCCAGACGTGCCTTTAAAGGGCCAGCACTGAGCTATCCAAGATGGCATCCACTGGCCACACAAGGCTACTGAACCCGTGACATGTAGCCAGTCAAAGTCAACATGTGCTCTAAGTATAAAATACACACTGACTTCCAATTAATGGGAATAAAACAGTGTATAATATCTCACTAGTGATTTTTATATTCATTACACTTTTGAGATAACAGTTTGAATATGTTATGTTAAATCAACGATATTGATGTAATTTCACTTATATTTTTAAGAGTGGCTACTAGAAAATGATCATGTATATGGCTGGCATTGTATTTCTAATGCAGTGATGGTAGGTAAATGTCATATGAAGAGAGAGATGATGCTAGAAAGTAAAGACACTGAAAATGAGTGTGAGAAGAAAAGGAGACATACATTTCAGTTTTCTGAAAAACTTTCTGAAAACAGAGGCCTCAGAACGGGGTCTGGAGATAGGATTGTAGGGAAAAGTCTGGAGCATCCACACCTAGATCCAAGATGGGGATTTTGTCCTCAGAAGGTGGTGCTAGAGTCCGCCTCAGTTTTCAAGTTAAATTGCCCATCAGAATACCTGGGCTGGGTAGATTCTTGGGCTCACTGCCCTAAACCTCGTGAGCCAGGATTCATGGCTGTGGGGCCCAGACATCCCTGTTTCACAGAGTTCTTGGGTGACTATCCTGTAGCTCCTCTGATCCCAGAAGAACTGAGCTCAGAACTCCCACAGAAGTTCTGGTGGGTTTGCACATTTCCCCTCTGGAGGAGCCAAAGGAGGACCTTATTAGCTGATACTTCCTTCTGTTACCACCTAAGGTACTCATTAAGAGGCCCTTCCTAGGTACACAGAGAAATGATTCTTGTCAGGAGTAGTACTGTAATTCAGAGAGAGAGAGAGAGAGAGAGAGAGAGAGAGAGAGAGAGAGAGAGATATCTCTATAAGCTCATATGCTATCAGTCTGAATAATGATCACAGGCTCTTCATATTTTCATATCAAATATAGCCATAATAGGAGATTAGAAGCAAAATGAAAGAATGAGAGTTAAGGAGGAGAGGAAAGGAGAAAGATTTGTTATTCTGACGGTGCATGATTAATGGATCTGTGGATACATGCCATTATTTTCCTTCTCTCTTTTTTCCCTTTAGCTCTTCACTTCCCTCTCAGATCTACAGCCATATCTCTTGATCCAGAGACCCCCCCAGAATCAGAATCTCAGCAGTGGGGTCCAAATTTGTTTTTATGAAAGACTCTTACATGAGTTCTGGGAAGGCTGCATTTGAGAGCCACTGGCTTAGAGGTTTATAATCCTCAGGATTGCTTACCTGGCACCCGATCCAGTACGTGTTGTCCAAGGTATTTCCCTCTTCATTGCTGGTCAGCCTCCTGTGTCCTACCTTTCTTTATTCTCTCAGTACGATCTCGGGGCTCATTTTGGCATGGAATCACTCAATGCCATTCTTACTGGGGCAGAAGGGTACTACCTACTTCACAGGGAACCTTTAGGCTGACTTTGCTCCTGGAAATGTCTTGCTTCCGGATTGGTGGATTCACTTGACACTCAATGTATATTTCCTAAGTGCTATATCTATGACCTATCAAACACCTCACTATGCACTTACTATGCACCAGATGAGCTTCCCATGCCAGGGAGCTCACTGTTTAGAGCAGAGTCCTAAATATAAGAAAAGTCAGGATGGGCTTCAGATGTGCCAGAAAAAAAATGTGTCTATTTTATTGATAAGGAGATCTACACATGTTATAAGGCCTTAGAGTTGTTTTGCACAACTCCAAAAAGGCTAAGAGCTACTGATGAATTGATAATAACGATGAGTGCTAATAATGGAAAGCTAATAAAAGATGCCAAGTAGGGATTCTCAGAAATGCTGTCAAAAGCACTTATTTGCTCCATAATGAGTAAGGTGAAGGTGCAGAAAAGTTTCCTTGGGTAGAGAGGTCAGAAGTGACAATCTGTTATCATGGTAGTTATGTGAGGTTACATGGCATTTTTGAGGAGAATGGGATGTGTACAGCCAGACAAGAAAAATATCTTGGTAGAAATTAGCTGAGTATACCCTACAGAGCAATTGGGATTGGGCCAGGGCTTACTGATTAAGATTTGAAACCACAGACCAGTCTCACCTCCTACCCCTGCTGTTCTGAATGCTAGACTTACAGCTGTGAGGTTGGACGGGGAATCAGAAGAGAGCTTTCTTCTGGAACGGCTCAATCCACACTCAAATCTATACTGGGTGATAAGGAGGGGAGATTTCTGCTTCTGTGGCTATTCTTCCTGGAGAGGAATTTCCTGGACACTTCCTCTGTAGCTTGAAGTCCATCTGGAAAGAACAGAAAGGCCTCCCAGACTCGCAACTGCCCTCACTGCACAGTCCAGAGGTTTCTAGGAGGAGCTCTGATGGGGGAAGGGAAGGATCACTCTGGAGTGGAGGTGGGATAGGGTGGGGGAGCTGCGGCTAGAGCTTTGAACCTGATCTCTCATCCTCAACGGGGAACACACAGCAACCAGCAACAACTTTCTTATGGCTCCCAATTTGGCACTTCTGAAGTCTCCTCTTTGACAGTGGGGGATGAATTTTCCAAGGAGGAAAGGAACTTGTGGAATCTTCTGACTTTTCATACACAAGTCTTAGGCGGGGCAATGGCCCTGTGAGTGTCCTTGTTTTTCAGGGAAGCTCTCTCTCGGTCGCAAAAGACTCGGGTCCTTGTGACTGCAAGATGATTTTCAGTTACAGACTTGGCCTACTTAAGTCCACAAAATGACTGAATTCATTTCTTGTGTTGGTTCTTTGCTCTTCAGCACAATGAGGGATGTCCCGGGCAAACCAGACACCTCAGGCAGCATGGTTCTTGACAGAGTACCTGCTTCTCAGGTCTTTGCTATCTATCAGTCACTGGAGTGCAGACCCTGGCCACACTGGCCACTCACTGTGGAACCTTGAGACGTTTGTTTCTACAAGCCAGAGATCATCTGGAACACAAGGACAATAGGTAATTGGGCCTCACTGACTTGAAGAATAAATGAGACAAAGCCCCTACCACATCGAGGTATTCATTAATGTGACTTGCCTCTTTTGTCTTTCACTTTAACATAGCAAATCTGTATTCTAATAAATGTGACAACATTCTCTCAAACTCAGTTTCCCATATGGTTTTAGGATTCCCTCCAGCTGCAAAAAATATAAAGATCTGAGACCCTGTGCTTGTTTCCAATAGCCTTTCTTTGGAGGAACTCTGTTCCACGGATCCCATGGAGTTGCATATAACAGTTTCATACCCAGACATGCAGCTGTTCCTGCAGTCAGTGGTCTGTGTGAAAGATGAGTAGGAGAGGAAAAAGGCAGGGCCCAGGAAGAGCTGCCAAGGAAAAGACAGCTGCAAGTTGGTCCTCAAGTAAATCAAATTGTGACGTTTATGGGGCTATTTCCAAAATAACTGGAGCAAGAAAACTGGAATGCAGAATTACCTTTTCCAAGAAGGATCTTAGCTAACAATAGCCAGTCTTGTGTGCTAAAATCAGCTTCACTTAAGGAAAAGGTCATATGGGTTTAAAGAGATCTGGGCTTTAGTTTTCTCTCTCCCACTTCTTACTAGTGATTTGGGACAAGTGAGTTAACTTCTCTGAGCCTCATTTTCCTCTCCCCTTTAAAAGAAAGGTAAATGATAGAAACTTTGCAGTGTAATTGTGAGGTTAGGAAGTAAGAATTGTTTGTGTTAGGAAGTAAGAAAAACACTCGCTCTATGGTTGGTATTGGATGAACAGGAGCTATGTGGCTATAGACACATCATGCCCGGAGGCCTGAAGCTTCTGGTTCTGGAGCCATTATTTCTTACATTTGTATCTGGTATAGAGTAGAGAACTGAGCAGGTGGGGGAGGAAGAGGCAACAAGGATGGCGTGGGTGGGTAGAGAGAAGAAAGGAGATCAAAAGGCCTATAAATATCTGTCAAACTTTAAAATGCAAATCCCCTGCCTGTGGCCCAGTTGGGACCAAATCTTTCATTATCACCTTCCTGGGAAGGGCTTGAGAGAAAGAGAAAGGTTAATTATAGTCCCTCCCTCTGCAGAATATTTTGCTTTTGTGGTCATTTATCACATTGCCTGGCTATGTGATAAGTGTTTCATTCAACCCAGACCAGGAATCATGGGTGGGCCTGCAATCTGCATGGCTCTTGACAGAGTACCTGCTTACTGACTGGCTGAATGTTGATTCTGGGCATAGAAAATCATCTTCACTATCTGAGGGCCCAATTCTCAGGGATCCCTGTGCTGTATATTTCATAGGGAATCGTGATAAGAGACAGCCCTCGGGAGGTGCAGTGGTGGCCCTCGGAGAAACTCTTGTATGGACTGGATAGTCCCTACCAATGGCCAGGGCTCTGTGCAGCCCCACAACTTGGGCATATATGATGCTACAGGGCATCTCTGCCCTACTGGTTGCTCCCACAGAGATAACCTCTTCCTATGAGTTCCACTGTTCACCTGTAACTTCTATACAAAATATGGAACTTTAGGTAAATGCCACAAACACCTCTGAAAGTGAAAGGACCACTCACCGCTTGACACTTTGCAGGGCTCGGTCCACACCACAACTACTGCTGTAAATAAAAAAGAAGGAATTTTTTTCCTTCCATTCCTCTTTTTCCCTTCTATTAATGGCCCCATTTTCTCATAAAAACATATCTGTATGTAATGTGTGGGTTGTTGTTGTTGTTGTTTTTCCTGGACAAGACTCTAACAAATGTCCCTAGACTGGACAGCCCTAAAACACATGGATTCATTAAACCCTTACCTGGATAAATTCACCTAAGTCTTAATCTGACAGTCTTATGCTTCCCTTTAAATGGCACCCACTGCTCAGGGCTCCTGTGGAAGCCTGCAAGGACCACCTGTGTCCTCCCTGACTACTCTCATCTGCATGCTGATGCACTGCAATACCACATTTCGCATCCAGCACTTACTATATTTGTTGTCCCAAGAACAAAGGAGTTGGGCTGGGGCTGTAGCTCAGTGGCAGGGCACTTGCCTAGCATGCATTAGGCACTGGGTTTGATCCTCAGTACCACACAAAAATAAACAAATAAAATAAAGGTATTGTGCCAAACTATAACGAAAAAAAGAGAGGGAGGAAGGAAGGAAGGAAGAAGAAAGAAAGGAAGGAAGGAAGGAAGGAAGGAAGGAAGGAAGAAAGGAGTCTGGCATCACAACCAAGTTATAAATATCTTGAAAGGAGGGAGCAGATATTATTCCAGGCCTGTACTTTATACCACGTCTGACCCAGCCCTGAATCCACCCTGAAATCACAGCATGTTAGTGGTCAAAGCCTGGGCTTTGGCTTTAGATAGATTTGGATTCAAAGGTTAACTCATGCTCCATCCATTTGTTCATTCATTCATCAAGTTTATATAAAATGCATGCTACTGTTAAAAGTTTTGGGGATATAAACAAAACAAAGTTTATTCTGTGTTGTTAGAAGAGTGAACAACAACAACAAAGTCTAGTAACTTGTGTAGAAATTAAAAGGGTGAGAAGTGAAGAAGTGAAGATTGGAGTGGGGAGTGGCTACTTAGCTGGTATGGTCACAAAAGTGATAGCTGAAAAGCAGGGACTGGGAGTGATGACGAGGGACTTGGGTGAGGAGGGACTTGGGTGAGGGAGCAGCAAGTGCCAGAGCCAAGTGTGGAATGAGCTTGGTGAGGTCAGGAGAAAGCAAGCAAGCTGACGCTCCTGGAGCAAGGCGAGCAGGGGACGGAGGCAGAAGATACGATGGGGGAGGCAGGGAGCTGTGTAGAATCTCGGAGGCTCCATGAGGGAAGCAGGGACTCAGACTAGTCTGAGTGTGATGGGAAGCCTGGGAAGGGGGAGGTTAGAATGTGATTTTGTTTTCAACAGATTTATCTTGCTGGAAAATGTGCAACAGAAGGATATGAACAGGAAGATCAATTCAAAGGTTATTTTTGTTGTCCCTGCAAGAGATGATGAGGTAGCAATACAAATGTGACTTCAGGCATGTTTTTTTAATCTCTTGGATTGCTTTCAGGATGAGCAAATTATACACTTAACACAGTTAGCAAAGGACCTGATTCATTGCAGGGACTATGGAAAGGTGATTCAAGTAAGAAATGAACACTAAAGAGATGTTAACTAATGTTCCACTAAGAATTTGCAGACGACCAAGACCTCAGGACTGTCTGTTCCAGGTGGATAGAGATTTGAAGGAGAGAGACCTAACTTCTGGGAAATTTGGAGCTATGCCTTTCTCATCCTACTCCTTTCTCACACCAAAATGTACAATCAACACTTGAGAACACCAAGTCCTCAAGTGTTGATTGTAGTTTTTTTTTTTTTTTTTGGTAGATGGAAATAATACCTTCATTTTTATTTATTTTTTATGTGTGCAGAGGATTGAACCATGCCTCATGATTGCTAGTGCTGTACCACTGAGCTACAACCCTAGCCCCAATTAGTTGCTTTTTAATTCTAAATATCTTGAGTAAATTTTTTGATAAT